AATTTACCAAAATTTCGCTGAAAGTTTCCCTAAAAATAAGATTTTTAAATAGGTCACAACAGCAACACATTATTTCTAGCTTGTATAAAATTACACTTAAAAAGTTATATGATCTAATCATTACAGTAGGTTACTCCAAGTCTAGAAACTGGAACAGAGACTTAGTCTGCATTTAGCTGTTCAATGACCTACGTACAAGTATCCTCTTAATGATCAACTGAACACAGACAGGTCTTTATTTAGCAAAAATATCCCCTCAAATATAAAAGTAGGATGCACGTAAGTGCCAAAGCCAGAAAAACCAGGAACTTCTGCCAAAACGAAGCTGTTAAAGCTTAATAGCCAAGACTGAAGAGGCTTTATCCTATGAAGAATCCACTGTGTCCATTAAATTGTTCCCAAGATTTCTCCCAGAAGTAAATGACAAGCATCCATGCTCTCCGTGGTTTACTTAACCTGTACATTCTGTTTCAGGTTTCAGATTGCTGTCAGTCTGAGCATGGAGCGCTATGCTTTAATGTTTGGCTTCAACAACTTCATTGCACTGGCAATTCAGACAATTTTAACTGTTGTGGTAGTAGATTCAAAAGGTCTGGGACTAGATATCAGCACCCAGGTAAGCTTCGTAACTCGCTCTCGTTTCCCCTACTCTCCTCTAAAAGAGGGTTCTACTCCAGGATTAGTCTTTGGGAATGGGTGAGTTTAGGGCAGTTACTCACTTGAAAAACAGGTTCATTTAAAGGGAACTGGCAGTAGCTACTACAACCCGCTTGTCCTCTAGTCCTGCCAATTTTGCATTTCTGCAATAATTTTAAGAATATTTTCATAGAGCCGAAGAGAAAGACCACTACCTATTACTAAAGGTTTTATTTTTATTTAAAGGCTTACTATTATGAAGTTTATTGTCAAATACCCTAAACAGAAGAAGGAAGCAAGCTGAAAGGCATTCTATGGGTCTATTACTGGGGTAATTCTAAATTACATAGTTTCATTGGGTACATCTTTAAGTTACCTTAACCCTGAAAATACTAATCTCACAATTCCCCATTGAATTTCAAGTTGGACCATACTGAATGAGGTCCAAGTCTCTAGCTTTCATCTTTTCAGGGAAGAGCCAGAAGCAGTGCAGGGCAGCTGTACTCCTCCATTATTGAGGTGGGGAGGGGACACAGGTAACATTATTCTCTTCCCCACCTTTTACAACTGCAGACTTCCTACAGCAGCCAGGAAATCAAGCAGCCAGACTTCTTGAATCCTTTCAAGATGGGATCATTTTGGGGCATGGGTGACAGGGGAGGGAAGGCGACAGCAGAGGGACACCCCTTAAATTATCTACCAAACAGTAAAAGCAGGTTTTGACTCTCCCGTCTTCTTCCAACCTCCATTTCCTAGTTTCTCATTTATGGCAGCTACTTTACAGTCATAGCTGGAATTTTCCTCATCAGAAGTATATACATCATTACCTCCACCAAATGCAGAAATACCAGTGTGGTTGGTGAAAGCACTGATCAGTAACAAAGGAGACAAAAAGAATGGCTGCGAGCAACAGTGCAGAAGGCTACATCATCTGAACAATTAATTAGGAAAAACAATGCTCAATCAAGCAAGACTTGTCAATGGTAAAACAGGCTGTTCATAAGCCTGCAGGATAAAGACCTTTGTCATCACGATGATGCATTTTGCCCATTTTCTTCACCCGTAGTTCTAATAGCAAACAATCCTCAATCTTCTATTGCAACTCAAGGTTAACGATCTGACACCAAAACTTGTATTAATGCTCAATAAGCACAAGCAGCAACTGCATACAGATACCTGAACCTCTCAGCAGAACACAACACAACCTTTGAACTTTCACTTCTACTGAGCATTACAGTTAAAGGCAATTTAGTCATCATAGGTGTAAGACCTTCAGATGTTCGTAGGAAACCTAAACCAGCAGCTGCCCCACAGCAGCAGGGTGATCTGTTGGAAAGTTTGCAACAGAAACCTTTTGAAAACTTAAGACTTTTTCAGCTGGAAGTTGTGACATGCATTTTAAAGCAGGTTAACAAAAGCAATAAACCATTTTTTTTTCAAAAAGACACTTCTTCTTTCTGTATGTTCAAAGGTGGATGACTAGGCTGCTCTGCAGCACAGAAGCAATACTGCCACTTCAGTTTACAAACGGCCAAATGCAGTTATTTCAGATTCCACACAATGCGGTCCTCAGAAATCTGAAGTTACAGGACCGAAAGGAAAATAGGTAATTATGTACAGATAAACTGCTACTGATGTAGTGACAGCTTTAGCATTAATTCCTTGAAAATGTACAAATACAACACACTAGCCTTCCCTGTGAGTGCCCGTCTTAATAAGCCTACACATTATGTCTGACAACTGCCACGACCCTCACACGCTGACCTTTGGAAGCAAAAAACCTTCCTAAACTAATTTATTTTTAAGTCATGGGGAGACGCTTCAATTTCTATAAAAGGCAGACTTACTTAAATAACACCACTTCAAGTTTATATTGAACTTTACTTTAAAGCTAATTAGGGAATGTTCTTTCAACTGTGTTCAATAATGTCCACTTTGGAGTAAACTGTATCAGACAGCAGCAAATTCCATTGTGTTCCTTTACCACAACTTACAGATTTGCCAAGAGTTAGAACTAACTAACAGTTGTCCCAGTTCAGCTCACAAGAAAGTAAAAATCATTAATTCCTTTAAAAACACACTTTTAAAAGGATGCTCAAGCTTGCCTTTATGCCCCAGTAACTTCCCCCTTCAAGACAGCAGAATACTTGCATCGTATTTATAGCTCTTTCAGGAATTCCAACTAAATTTTGTCCTTCTCAAATTCATTTCTTGCCTCAGCATTTGTTTCAACACGGTGCTTAGGAGTTTGCAGCCATTAAATAACTTTGAACTGCAGAAACTGGGCATCACATCTGCCTTGCAGAACTCGGGATGTACCTTTTACAGCATCTTCTTACACACATAAAAGCTGACATATTAAAAGTATTAATCTAGAAGGTCTCTAAATTAATTTCTGTATAAGCCAGCTACAGTTACCAAGTGAAGTGCTTTAATGCTAAAGCAGAAGAGGCCACTGAAAAACTAGTGGAAATATAGCTTTTTGGCAGCTGTGCTAGTTGCACGAGCAATTGTGTGAACAATTACAGAGGTTTCTAAGACAAAACATTTATAATCATGGGTAAAGAATTCATTTTGTAAGTATAGATATTTTAAAAATCCAATCTACAAAACAGGTATGGTGTCAGTTTCTGTTCAATATAAAGGAAAGTCAAAACAATACAAGATCATCAGCTTCTTGTCTGGAGTCTCATGAACTTAAAATTAGTCAAAACACACTAAACAGATGTGGTTGTGTATAGTAAGAGTTGCCATCTTTTATCTGCATTCAAGCTGGTTATGAAAAATAAGGTATTCCACTATTTATGCAACATAATCAAAAACTATGTACCTTGCATACTTAAATGAATTCCTGTATCTCTGCAGTAATAAGTTTCATTTGGATAAGAACAATTTCAATAGATGCTGATCTCATTAGCCCTTGCACAAAGCTTAATTTACATCAGTTCAGGTGAAGAGACAGGACTGTTCCCCTCCTACAAGGCTGTTCATCTCATTGATGAGACATTTGGTTGATTTGGTCCGGTTCCCTGCAATAAGCATATTCAAGTGCTTAAGTTCTTCTGAACCTACTGCTTTTATGCGCTGCTATCCCAAAATAGGTAAGGTCAACAACAGAACTACAGCTATTTACACTATGGCTAAAAAACAGCAGGAAGAGCAAGGGCATCACTACCATCCCAGAAACCTTCAATTGCTGGGGATTTGTTGAATGAGTTTCCTAGAGAATGTTACACCATACTCTATCCAGCAGTGTGCAGCAGGAGGAGGAGACAGATACCAACTGGACAAAACCAGACATTTAAGTGAGGAATGCTACTATAAGCAGCTTGTTGAATAAGCTGACCATTCTCTGCTGTGGAATCTCCAAATCTTAAAAAAAAAAAAAAAGGGTAAGATACAGAAATTACTACCCCCTATAGAGAGGTAACAGTAGTCAAAAGCACTGGCAAGAAAGTATCTTCACAAGCAGTGGTCAAGTCTTTCAGCTCCCCTAGAAATAAGCAGGTCTAACATTCAGGCAGTCAATTACAAGTGAAATGTCTTACCTTCAGGTATTTTTGCATTTGTGGGCTTGCACATCCTTTTCTCAAAAAAAAAAAATCAGTCTAATCTTATTTATTGCTGTTATCTTGAAAGCTGTTAGAATTTTATTCTCCAGCTGGTCAGAAACCTTTTTTTAAGCTTGCACTTTATGTATTCATGATATATTTACATTATTTGCATAGTCCCAGTATTACACTTGAACTTAAGCCAAGTTATCTCTGTGTTTAAACCACCATCACCAACTACTGCAGAGTTATGTTTCTTCTTGAACCTTCTTACTATTACAGACTGGATATGCCAGACATTCCCCCCCCACTTACAAATTCCATTCCAGTACAGCAGGAAATATTCCAGTAAATAAAAAATTATCAATGAATTTAGCATTCCACAGGAGGTCTTACTACCACATATAAATTTTTAATTAAAAGAGTGCCATTATACCTGTGGTACCTTGGCCTATTACACTGTTTTGACCAACCCTACGTCTCCTTCAAAGACTGTCATCAGCTACCCATAATTAAGTGTCTTTTTCAGGTAACCATTTCTCAAATAACTACCCTCCTCAGTGCTTCTGGTGTCCTTCGTTACACAGCTATTCTGTCAAAGAATCCAAGTTCACTTAACATTTTCCTGTTCAATAAGTCACTTCCCTTGGGCTAGAACAGCAAGCTTTATCATAAGGACACAAAGAAAGATATTCAAGTGAGGCATTCAAAAACTTTAAGCATTTGTTTTTGGTAACTCAACTGTGTATGAGATTCAAAAAATGTACATTTTAACCCAATAAAGTGTTACTGCACAGAAATAATGCTACACAATTGTTTTTTCTAATATTTATTTTTTTCACCTGCAAACTGTAGCAAAACATGATCAGCTTTATTATGCAGACAGGTATCCCTCTAACATTAGAGATTTAGGCATGTATAAATAGAAGAGCTCTTAGGAAAGGAAAACATTTTGAGAAATGAACAAACCTTCAAATTTAACTTCATGACTTCCAATACCAATGCTTAAAATGGTGTAGCTCATTCATTCCAAGAGATACAACAGCACCTTAAAGTGGCTGATCTATTTCCCAGTAACATTTTTCACATAACAATGTGTTAAAGTTACAAATACTGATATGCACAAATAGCTATTTTCTAAGAAAAATATGTACAGTACTGCAGCATAATGAATGTGGTATCTGCAATAACTTATTAGCCAATTTTAATATACATGATACCGCTACTTTTTTACCTGCCAGTTCACAGGTTCAAGGATGTTACCACAGCCCTCTGTTTTGCACGTTATTACCTGGTGGGGGAGTTGGTTTTCTTGGTTTTGTGTATTTATTTTTTTAATTTTTTTTTTAAAGGTACACAATGCAGGCTTTTATTTTACTTCTTAAAGACTTCTTTTGTGTTTAAAGCTAATATCAGTGAAACAAGACAACAGTGCAAGAGGCGCAGAGATGTTATGTGACCACATAAGAGTTCTTTTGGGTAAAGTGTCTATAAGGCTATAAGAAAGGATTGGTTGATGAGCTTCCTGTTGGAAATTGTCCTGTTGGTGCACCAGCCTGTGGGGAAATGAAAGAAAAAAGGACAAATATTTAAGATGTTTTTTTTCCATATTTTAAGTCATAAGTGCAGGACATATAAAAAAGAAAACAACCTATTAGGAAATATTTCTGGTTTATGTTGCAGGCTTTTTTTTGGTGGTTCTCTGAAACTACACTACTGTAAGAGCATAGTATACAAGTAACTCTGTTTTGATTTGAACAGCCTTACACATGTAATGCCATTGTAATAATGAATTACATTTGGGAGAGTCACATGTTACCTTCCCTTATTTTAAGAAAAAAAAGAAAAAATATCTTCATGTGCCTCTAAATTAATTTATAGATTATGACTCTTCAGACAGAAAAGTTATTGATGTCATACAACAACTCACTTACCATAAAAGGGTTACTAGATACTCCAACAGCTGCAACTTGTCCAAAAGGAGTTACTACAGGCTTTGCCTGTCCAAATGCAGCAAAACCTGCTCCTTGGAAAGATAAGTGAAAAATATTAATACTAGTAACCAATCTTCAAAGAATTCTTTGCTGCAGCTCCCACACAAAAGTAAGTGGAAGCTTGGACTGCACAATCAGGAGGATTGATGCCACTTACACATTATCAGGACTGTAATGTTTGGATCTAGACCATCCCTGAAGGTTCCTTCCAACCCCTACAATTTTCTGATTCAATGTAAGTGTAAAAATAAATAAATAAATACAGCTGGGCTTTTTGTTAGTTTCATTTTCAACTGTTTGGAACTAATCAATTTCCAGTTTCTACATATGCACTTTTTTCCAATATGATTTTATCACTTAAATTTAGGGAAAAAGTACTTTCCACTTTTTTCTTGCCTGTGTTCTATGAAGTTAAAGAAAGTGTTCTAATCAGTTGCAGACACTCCAAAAATGAAGACAAACCAAATCAATTCTCTATGCATAAAAAGCCTTTAAGACTGGGAATACCTAGAACTTTTAGTATCAGATTATGGTAAAATTTCAGTTATGTCACAGCACACAGCCAAGGCAGAAAAGCTCAACTACACAACCCAGACAGAGTGTGGGAATCCCTCAATGTTATTATCAAGTTCATATAGAAATAAATGTACACTCATTATTGCTAACTTACAGACAGACCATTTTCTCCACGTTTCTGATTTAACCCAGATTACCTAAAATGTATAGACCTACCATTTGGCTGCTGAGCAAAAGCAGTCTGTGGAGGGAAAGCTGCCTGGGCTGGGAACGTGGGCTGCTGGAAGTTGCCACTAAAACTAGTAGGAAGACTGTAGGAGGCAGGAGTTCCAAATCCTGCAGGCATGCTCACGGATGCAGTACCAAATGTTGCTGCTGGCAGGCAAAAAATAACATTCAATTATTTGTAGGAAATCACTTTTTTTCATGAGACAAATTACTATAATGCCACGTTAAGAAAAGTCTCCTAATGCCTCAGTGACCATACAAAAGTTAGGTTCAACTTCTACAGCCACTGAACCAATTTGTTAGCTTGGATCACCACCAACTAGGAGCACCATCTTTGCACTTCAAAAACGAATGGAATAATTTAAAATTTATTAGATCCAGCACATTCAGATATAGCTTTTGAAAAGGAAATTATTTTTTACATTCTATTATTGTATACTTCCCCCAGCATATTTCTGGTAAAAGTCTCTACATATCAGAGGCAGGCACTTTCAGGCAGCTTAAACCCCTCTGTTTTTCTCCTCCTGAGAAAAGCATGACAGAATCTTCCTACTTCAAGCTGCGTTACAGGAAGTTACAAGTAAATAAAAAATAAAAATCAAAAGGGATACATGCATCCCCTCTCTCTTCATTCCATCCTTAACGTCACTTTAAAGGAAATTTACACCATGCACATTATTTGCACACAAAGTTCCTATTGCAAATGCTCTCACTGTTGAGGTAGGACTTAAAACAAAAACAAGGAATCCAAAACTTTTCATCTGATTCTCTGCTGAACATTTCAAATAAAGAACAGAGTTCATATGCTACTCCACATGCCTTCAAATATACAGCACATCAAGTGCAAAAATGTAGTAACAAAACCATTATTCCGTCTTTTGGGACTTATTCTTGGAAGGACAAGCGTATAAAGTTTTTTGGTACAAATACAGACACCAAACATTTTATTCTAGTTAAACATTAAACAGCACTTTTCTTTTGAAATGTCACTAGATAGATTTTATGCAAGCTCAGCTGTTTAAAAAAAGAATATATATATTTAATGAATACAGCTTAATTATGAGTTGAAAAAATTTACCCCAAAAGTATTCAAGGGCAAGACTTTATACATACATAAAATGCTGACAAGGTACACACAGAACTTATGTACTAACATTCTTTTCAAGTTACAAATAGCAGAGAAGCTATTCAACAGGAAAACTTGCTAAAACAGCAAACAAAAGCATGACAAAACAAGCAGTGACTTGGGATATCCCAAAAGGCATCAAGCGACTGTTGGTAGAAACTTGAAGAGTCATTCAACTTGTTAGCATTATATTGTGTCCATTGAGGATATCAATAATGGTTTTGTTTCAGTTGCTTAATAGGTTGTCTCTGTAAGCTCTTCCTTTGCCCACACCCACTCCATTTTAAAACAGCGGAAGTCTTCCGAAATTCTATGTGCAGAGAACCAGATAGCTATCAATAAGCTTTTACAAGCAAGAACAATTAGCCACAAGAAACTTGATACCAAATGTGGCCACCTACCAAAATGAGCCTGAGGAAATATGTGAGAGTGCATTGCTCCCGAGAGGCCTTATGGAAGCCACAAAGAGACCAGACAATGTCAAATCATTTATACACTCTTGAAAAGTCATTTCTTAGTTATATATATATATATATAAAAATATACATATCTACCAAACAATTTGTCCATAGCATGATCAGCAATAGAAATATACATATCTACCAGACAATTTGTCCATAGCATGATCAGCAATAGATTAAGATAAGAAAACTGTTAGAAATGAACACTGCAAAACAGATCTCCCATGTAATAAATAGCAAAGTTCATGCAGAAAGAAAGCTTAGTATAAAAGGACAAGATACAAGTTTACACTTTACATGGAAAGGGGTAGAATATTGTCTTTACTTCTAGTCATTATCTCTGTTACCTAGCACATAGATCAGTATAGCTGCTAAAGGGTTAGAATCTCCACAAGCAAAGGATAGCAGTTTAGAAGATGCAAGGATAGAGTTGCCATATTCAAACAAATTTATCTAAAGAGGCTACAAATTCTTAACGATGCTCCAAAATAGCACAATTAGGAATGAGATTAGAGTAAGGAAACATGCATTTTGGGCATTAAATAGCTGAATAAGCTTAATTGCGTATTATCTCAAAAGGTACTGGAAACAGAATTAATCTGAGTTAAAACTGATCAATTCAGTTTTAACTCAGCCTGGTCAGTTAAATTAAATCTACCTAAATCTTGGAGCAAACCACAAATCAATGTTAGAACGTACACATCAGCAGATTTAAGTCTCTGGAATTCCAGTTAATAGACAAAACTACCAAAATTTAGCAGTGCCTTTGGAGAGGCAAATTAGCATAATCTAACAGTCATGTACATCCAAGTTCAGTGTTTTAAAGAAAAGTACAAGTCTGCTTTTTTGCAAAGTGATTAAGTTCTTATCTATGGAATTATGATTCTATAGAATCCTCCCCCAGAAAATTAATGTAAATCACGACTGTAAAGATTTAAGTGTATGCTTTACTGTTATAAAAGAGGAAATATAAAGGACACCACCACTGAATAAGTGGACTGGTGAGGAGCCAACAGCCCAAAAGCCTTGCCTTCCCTGGTTCTAGCCCCAGTTCCTTGGCTTTGTGGTCTTTCAAGACTTTGAAATAAAGAAATTAAAAAAAGCCCAACCAACCAAACATCAGCAGCTTAGCAGCAGGGCTTTCAAGATTCCTTATTTCAGGGTAGCATGCAATGAAGTGTGCTAGAAAGCTACCATTATAGTCTTGGAAGGAACCCAACTGGTAATACACAGATTACAAATAGCTCAGGTAGTATTAGAAGATCTTAACCAGATCATTTTGACATTTTTCATGGCCACCACTTGAAATCCTAGAATTGGGCCAGAAACAGAAAACTGATGTCCTCAGCCCAATAAAAAACAACACTTATCCCCCTGGCAAATGTTAAAATAGATTTCTGCAGCGTATTCATAAATATTGTACTCTACATTGAACATAACACACAACGTGTCAAATAGACTACAGACAGATAATACAGGAACAAATTACACACTATGGGAAAAAAAAATTTAAAAAAAATCAATGCAAGTCTTTTAAAGAAAGTTTTTCAAACACTCGGGGTTTTTTTCCTAACCTGTTGCTCCTCGGCTATTGGTCTGGAATGGATTTGTTGAAGGTGCCACTGGGGCAACAGGGGCAGCTACAAACGGATTTGTGGAAGGTGTTGCTGAAAAGATTAAAAATATTTTATTTAATAAAGTCTTTTAAAAATAGCCAGTCTGACTCATAATTAGTTTATATAGCTTTTATACATAAATATTTAAAATAACACAAAAACTTAGGAATTGATAATACAATCCTCAATTTGAAATTTATCACAATAACAGTACTTTTTTGGCATCCTTTAGTAACTTCAATATCACTCGTGTCAATGTATAGCACTATCAACTAAAAATTAGTAAGGTGTTTGCTTACAGTCCACAAAAGGTGTTAGTAACAGTTATATACCTCCAAATGGAGCAGGCACACTCGAAGATGCAGGCTGTGTCTGTGCAGTAGCAGCCACGGGTACTGTTCCAAAAGCATTGCTGAAAATAATTCATACATTCAGTGAAGTCAGAATTGCTTGTTTCACAATTAAATACAACTTACAATTATTGTTGGCATGTAAAAGACTAGAAAAGGAATGCTTACGTGCAGTTTTAAAACTGCAATATGATTCACTGATGCCAGAAATTGAGCCTCTGATGCCAGGGTCAGAGACTATAACTAGTGCTGAGCAAGAAGTCCTCTCCACCAACAGCAGGAGAAAGAATATTGAACAGAGGCCATCAGCATAAAGGTAGCAAAGCAGAAGCTTCAGGGGAACTTGCAATACCAAGCAGAGCTATAACAGGCATTTGGTATTTATTACTTTAATGATCTAAAAAAGAAGGTGTGGCACCATTTCCATTATAAATATCTGAATTTTTTTTTTTCAGTATGCATGCAACTATTCTGTATAGGAAAGTGTTTAGCAGGTAATGACTAGAAAGGTGCACAGAAAATTCTGCTGACAGAAAGTATTCTTAATTTTATCTTATAATATCCTATCAGACAGTACTGCTATTATTTAAAACCAAGGATGCACCTCCAGTAGTACCTCTAAATTCACTAAGCATTTCCCCATTTAGATAAGAAAGAAAAACAAAAACCGAGAATCAACTTTGAGCTACTTTTCTGCATATTGCTGTAGTCAGTGTAGGAAGTCAGCTACTTCTAACAAAGTACCTGCTAACATTACTGGTGGAAGTATATGCATTACTAGAAGTTGCTGTGGAGCTGAAGACGCTGTCTAATTCTGCTAGAGCCGCATACTTGTCTGAAGATGCACTTGACTGATTTGGGGCTGACAACGCAGGACCTGCTGATGCTGACACTACTGTACTGAAGCCACTTCCTTGCTCACTACCACCTAGAAAGAAAGAAACCAGATTAAAAGTGATTAAGATGGTTTCACTTTCTGCTCCGCTGTTGAGAGCTAAGTTAATGTTCATGGACAGTTTAAGTTTCAGACTTAAAAATCAAATATGCACTCAGGCATACAGGAAAAAAACCCAAACCATTAACAAGCCATTAGCTATTAGCAAAGTGTCATGCTTCTATAGAAATTCTGCAGCTCCTGGTTTCCATCATCAATACTTCCATCATTTTTAACTAGAAAATTTAACAAAACACATACCCTCATATTATCCATTTCAGAACAAAGCTTTACATTTAAGCCAACATAAATTTTTATACAGAAAGTTACAGAAGTTTTTTCTATTTAACTTAAAATCAACTAAATCCAAGTATCACTGCTAGTAGCTTATAAAAAATTAAAAGCCAAATCTTTGTGGCAGAGAGGTAGGAAAGTTACTCTGGCAGTTTTCTGCAGCAACTGTAGCTCTCCTTCAAGAGCTTTCACTCTAAGCTTTAGCACAAATATAAGATATATATTTATATATTTTCATAATTGCAGTAATAATTATTTATACATTTCCACTTAGAGTTATTAATCTTGATGGCAAGTAGGTTCCCAAGAAGCAGCCTTCTGATGACATCCTTTTGGAGTGATGTTAGTCTTAAAACCTATATCTTACACATTAAAGGGTACATTGACATGAAATCCTACCGGTAACAAAGAATTTCTGCATTTTGAAATACAGTTACTATTTTGACATGCACAGCCATCCTTGTGGTTAAGTTACACATGTAGAACAAGTAGGTCAAAGAATAAAGTTTAATACCTTGCCCTGCACTGAAGATATTATCTAAATTAGCGAGAGCTGCGTATTTGTCAGCAGACTGGAGATTCGGTTTATTCACTGCAGCTTTACTGGCTGCAGCTGCTGTTGCATTGCTCTGAGAAGCATTGAAGGCTCCAAAATCAGCACTGGAGGATTTGGGGAAGTTATCAAAGTGAGCAAAGTTAGCATTCACTGATCCAGCGCTTCCACCTGCAACAAATTGAGTTAAACATGGTCAACACTCAAAAGCTATAGAAAGTCTCTCCAACTGTAACTGATGGCACAATAATCCCACCTTTCTGTTGTTACAGGAGGCAACATGTTCTCCCAGCCCACATGTTTAAGATCCTTTCCCATTTCCTTCAAAGTTACACTGGGTCGTCAGAAAAAATACATTTTTGTATTTTTCAGTCTGCAGACCAGGTGAAAAAAAAAACCCCAAGCTTCAACAGCTTATATCACAGTCGTAATTTGATTTTGAAAAACTTCCATTCTATTTATTAGCTGTTAAAGTAATTGCAACAATATTTTGCTAGAAAAGTAAGTATTTGTCTAAATCTTTAAAATCCAAAATACAGAAGCCTCATTTTGCTGTCATATGTCTAATGAATAGCTACTATTTGTATTTACTTAATGGTACAATGTTTAACCATCTCAGACATCCGACATTGTTCTAAGCAATAAACAGTGCCTGGAATTCCGAAAGCAGTATGATTCCACATCAAGGTTTTGTGAGATAGTTTTGTTCTCTGTGCTCAGATTTTTAGACCACATCCAGGAAAGAGATGAAGGGGAAGACACAATATAGCTCTTATACCAAGTCTCCACTGATGTCAGAGATACAGAAATCAATTTTAAAAATCTGACTTAGATCCACACAACTGAACTTCAGTTCAAATACAAAGACATGCGCTTCCATCTCCTCAGTGCCCAGACAATTTAATCTAGGCAGGTCACGTACTTAAATTTAAATGAGTTGTTCCATTAAGTGTATCACATTCTCTAACAGTTGGTTAAGGATTCCACTCATACTACAGAAGACACAACTTTCTAATAGCATAATCAAGAAGTTAAAACATATGCAACAGTAGGAATGAAAACGCTATACTACAATGGCATAACATGAAGCAAGCTGAGTTTTCCACTGCGTGGAACTTACTGTGCACAGCCTGGAGAGGAAAAGCTGAAGTAAATTCACCAAAACTGCAGCTAGATGAAAGCGTTCTGAACGCTGGACAGCCAGAAATTGTGTGGGGGTTAAAGTTAACATAAGAAGGGAGAAAGAAAATTTGAAAAAAAGTTTAAAACGACACGACACTCAAAGGAAAAAAAAAAAAAGGAAAAGAAAGTCAGTCAGCCAAAGATCTAGACAAACAGCAAGTGTAAAGCTCAAGCAGAATTTCAAAAGCATGATCAAATTAAAGGAAAGCAAAATAAATCTTAGCAATAGGCTCTACACGTGAAGCCAAACATATTGAAGTGTGTGCATATGTTACACACAGACACACACTTTTTTTTTTGGAACTGCAAAGTACTTTTGGGTCTACTGAAACACTTCTCTTAAAAGATAAAAAGTCAATTTAATAGTTATCAAAACCAGTATGGTTTACTCTTTCCACAGTTATTTCAGGTGTAGAGCTAACACACATGTAGTGCCATAAATCAGACTTCTGAGCAGCATTAGGAAAAAAAAAAAAAAGAAAATCAACACCAAACAGAAGGAATTCATTTTGAGTTTCCCCAGAGCTTCAGATGGCTTGATTGCATTAAAGCAGGCAGATGCAAGAATAAACTCAAGTACCTTCCAACATAAAGGTAAGTATTATTTCAATTAAGTATTAATCAAAAGTGCTAGGAGTTCTACCTGTATTTTGGGGCTGAAAAGAAGACTGACTTGCTGTGGGGAAACCTCCAAAATTACTCGAGCCACTAGACTGTCCAAATGCATCAAAGTTTGCAAAACCTGCATTTGCAGAGTTCTGCGCTGTAAATTGCAAAGGAACAAAACATGTTAATGGATATGGGAAATAAATACAAAAACAGATGTATTAACTGAATGCATGGTCATGACAGCCTTCAAGGGTTATATCCTACCTTGTAATTTCTTTTTACGTGAAAAAGTTATACATGGTATTCTACAACTACACTGAAAGGTGTCTTTAAACAAGCTTTCACGAATCACCTTCACAGAGCCGTACCAGTTAATGCTAGTTCTCTCCTCCTCACACATGCTACTACTCACAACTATGTGACCTGACGAAATCCAGATTATCTTAACCCTGAAGTGTTTGTGGTGGTGGCTGGTGAAGGAAAAACAGCCAACAAGTACAGAATACCAGATGCATACCTGTAGAGCCCAAACCCAGGCATCATTCTAAATGCTAGTTTCCAAAATCAGAATTTGTGGACTAACTGAACATTTCTTTGGGAATAAAAATTAGAAAGTATTCTTGTAACATACTGACAATTTGAATTCCTCATATACAAAGTGCTTCACCCTTGGGTGAATCTAGTCTGGCACAACTTGTATAGTTTTGGCTAGGTTTATAAATTCATTTCACTGGAAAATTTGGGGTTTTTTAAACTAAAAAAAGAGTACAGAAATATGGAAAATCAATACCAATGTCAAGAAGTGTATCCACAAAATAAAATCCAAGGAAATTTCAAACAGAATTTCAGTTTTCACCTTCCTTTCGTGTCAGACTATAGGAGAAAATAAAAGTTAACACCCATCTAATTTCAAAGAGCTGGACATTCAAGCATCCATAGATTTAACAGGAATTGCGGGCCTAACTGATAAGCTCCACAGAAAGTCTTAAACACTGTTACACGCAAGGAGTAAGGGAAAAAAGTGGTTTTAATCACATGCAAAACAAACCCATATACATAGGCAACAAGCTCCTATCTAAAGAAAGCCCACAAAACACCTTCTGGAATAACAGATGCAATACGTTATATTTTTGGGCCAGGTTTTGTTCATTCTGGAGGGATTTTGCAGATCAAGTATATACAAAAGCAGTAAATTATGCTGACTGTTTCAGTACTGTTATTTAATACGAGATAATGCTAATTAAAAGTTGCATTATTTAACTTAATGTCTATTTTAAAAGCATCTATACTACAGATTTATAAGCTAAAAGCACATTTTGATACAAACTACTGCATTCCACAATGATGTAAAAAAAAAAAGAAAGTGCAAGTACTTCCCTTCACATGGGGATGCAGGGACAGAGGGTGAGGCTTGACTGTACATGATACCACTTTTTATTGATGTGTGCATGCGTATTGTTGGTAGCCAGGGGCTGCAGGGGTGGCCCCTGTGAGAAGAGATGAGAAGCTGCCCCCATTTCTGACAGCCAGTTTCAGCTGGCTCCAAAACAGACCTGCTGCTGCCCAAAGTTGCAAACATCAGCAACGCTGGTGGCACCTTTGTGGTAATATATTTAAGAAAGAGTAAAAAACACAGCGCAGCAGCTGTGAGAGACAGAAGGGAGAAAAATGTGAGAAACAACCCTGTGAAGGTCAGTGAAGAGGGAGAGGAGGTGCTCCAGGCAGAAAAGCAGAGATTCCCCTGAAGTCCATGGACAAGACCAGGGTGAAGATGATTGTCTCCCTGCAGCCCATGCAGGACCACAGTGGAACAGATAACGACACTGCAGCCTATGGAGGACCCCACACGAGAGCAGCTAGTGTGGAAAGCCCATGTTGGAGTAGGCTCCTGGCAGGAGCTGTGGCCAGTGGAGAAGCATCCACACAGCAGAAGGTTCTGGCAGAAGCTGGGACCCTTGGGAGGGGAACCCACACTGGAACAACCCATGCCCTGAAGGACTGTACCCCATGGGAAGGGCCCATGCTGGAACAGTTCTTGAAGAACTGTAGCCCACAGGAAGGGCCCATGTTGGAAGAAGTTTGTGAAGGACTATATCCCATTGTGGGGAGGGACCTCACAATGGAGCAGTGGGAACTGCATGTGGAGGAAGGAATGTCAGAGATGAAGTGTTATGAACTGTCTGCAACCCACATTCCCCATCTCCCTGCACTGCTCAGGGGGAGGAGGTAAGAAGAGTCAGGAGGTAAAATGAGCCTGGAAAGGAGGGATGAAGGTGGCTTTATTTTTGTGTTTATTTCTCACTATCCTACTCTATTATTAACTGACAATAAATTAAGTTAATCATCTCCAAACTGAGTCTGTTCTACCCATGACGGCAAGTGGTGAGTGAACTCCCTGTCCTTATCTTGACTTACAAGATTTTTCATCATCTTTCTCCCTCATCTTGCTGAGGATGGGGAATGAGAGAGCAACTTGGTAGGGAACTGGCAGCCACCCAAGATCAACCCACCACAGCATGAGAATCAACAAGCAAAAAAAAAAAAAAAAAAAAAAAAAAATCAATTAGAAAGCAGAAAAGTTCCATCCTAAAATCTAAAGGAGAAAAACAAAGACTGAGGAAAAATAGTTTCTATTATTTTATCATCTGTATTGGTTCAAACAGCATTCTACAGACTTCAAATTCCACTTTTGTTTCTGTTCATTTGTTTTGGTTTTATATCAGTAGCTTTTTAAAAGTAATAGATTAAGAATTCTATTGCACCTTCCTTTAAAATTGCTTTAAAATGAAAGCGATGATTACATCCCAATGCATTGATTGTACAGGGACTACTCAGAGACTGACGTTGCCCAAACAGGATTAAGCATGTTAATGTCACTCAGAATTGTAACAATATTTTTTACTTTAACCACTCACACAAACAGAATACTATGTCAAGAACCTTAAATGAAATATCTTTTGAGTCTAGATTAAAAACTGGAACATATTATATTACAGGCCACTTAATTTTATTGCATCAGCTGACACAGCTATGATTTGCAAGTGGGCCCATGTTAAAACAGTCAAGCCGTAAAGGCTCTTCTGCAAAATATTCAGATGCTAATCTTGCTTTATTTTATGTGGTCAAGTTTAAACCTATGTAAAAGTGGCACAAAGGTAGACTTGTAGTTTCCTGTACCTCAACAATAGTTAAGACTGGCAATTCCAAAATTCAGTTCTCCATGCAGAAACCCAAGAACAACCCTAAGTAAGTTCAGGAGCTGCAGTGTGCTGTATATTGGTACAGATTTACAACTGTGGTTGCGACTGCAGGTTAATGCGGCAGTACAAAAGCGACCTGGCTCACACTGGCTCAAGTGTGACAGTACCAGCCACAGCAATGCAAGCTGCCCCTACAACCTTTGCATAGTTTCTTCTGTGAAGTTTGCACTACCTCATGTGGAACAAAAAGCATGAAACATTGCCAACCTGAAAATAAAGCTCACATACATTCAATTACAAATTTGAAAAAAATGTCTCTAGAAAACAACTACTGCACTCAGTTGTGCCTTAACTGCAGAAACAGTAACTTATACTGAAAGACTTTGAATTTCCTAGTGTTCCTGAAAGACTTTGAATTTCTGAAAGACTTTCTTTGAATACTGAAAGACTTTGAATTTCCTAGTGTTCTTCAGTAATTTTCGTAGTTAACTATAGTGCACAGGAAGGGAAAGAGAAAAGTCCATCCCCTATAAGCACAGCTAAAACCAAGCCTTAAAACAAGAACACCAGACCATAAGCTTCAAGCAAGTAGTGCTGGATTCAGTGCACGTTCTTCCATCCTCTACTGTAGTGTGTGAATACTAACAAAAATTACATGTTCATACAGCTCCTTAAATGAGCATTTAAAACTCATTTTTGCTAAAGCTGGCGGACTGCTCAACCATTCTTGTATTCCAAAGGGAAGAGTCTAACGTTTCATTATTAATTTCAGTTAACACTACCCTGTGATTACTGCACACAGAACAAGCCTTACAAGTGTTTTACCTTAAAAAGTCAGAAAATACCTTCAGATAAAACCACGCTGCAATTCAGCTATCACATACTCAGAATTAGATTTCTGTCTTTTAGAAACTGTTTTACCAGTCCTGAAACTGTTTTGGGTTCTAAAACTTACAGAAAGGAGTTATAGGAATTACCACGATGGTTAACTACTGAAACAAAACAAAAAAACCCCACAGAAATCAGTGCAGCTAAATATTCCTCTCAATTTTGATTTTCAGCACTTACTTCAAACAGAAATTAACAGACCCTTTGTAAAATTATATTTACTCTGAAATGTTCATATTGCTTTTTACCCTTTTAAAAATTATCCAGCAGAGATGCAGTGGAATTTTACCTAAATTTGGAATGCAGCACTGAGTGGAATTTTACCTAAATTTGGAACACAGTATTGAAATATTGCTTTAATGGAATTTTCATCTCTTGAAACCCACAAAGAGTAATTAAGTGTATATAAATACAGAACCATTCAGCAACAAGCTTGGAAAGAATAAAGTATTAGAGAGAATTAAGTATCTGCAGCCTCTTCAGTAAACACTGCACAACACTGGCCAGTCGGCACAAGTTCTCCCAGGTAAACATACCTCCAAAAAGATTAACATGAAATGTTATGTTAAGGATTTTACAAAATACACTGCAACAGCAATTCTTATTCTGTATTACTAAATTCAGCCAGTTATTTCACAGCATTTTTTTGAAAGCTAGCTTTGAGAAAGCCTTGATACTTTGCTCAGGTCCTCAGGTGTGTATTAAGTCCCCTCCATCACACATCCTCTCAGGTGTTAACAATTTCAGGACTGATTTGCAAGAAATCTCTCTCATGTTGGCTTAGCAGCATCCCAGTTTCTCTCAGAAAAATGAGATGAAAAGCCCATTCAGACAAGGCAGGCAAAGGTACTTTCCCACAATTACAATGCAAGTTAGCAACAACATGCTTCAGTCACCACAAAATCAGATTTTTCTTTAGGATAGATTTCTATGGCTCAAGAACTTTGGCTGAAAATAAACCCTGAGGGCTCAATATATTTTACTGAAGTCATTCTTTAAGCATTCCAAGGCCTACCCCCACCCTCAGTCAATACACATGCTCAAAGCTTGTTTATTCTTCCTGAATCTACAGAAGACTACCCACATGGCTAGTATTCAGTTTTCAAAGAGACATACACACAAAAGCAGAGGTCATTCTTTAAACGGAGGAGGCCTTTTTCTTTTAACAAATTGACAGTTAGTCAATCCATTTCAACCCCCTTAAAATCTGCTTTTTTTTCCATGAATGCTCTTCCTAATAATTTTCAGAAAGAAAATTGAAGGTCTAATATCAGCTTCTCCCTACATTCTGTTACTCATCCTCTCACTCCCCCAAAGAGTTTGAAGTTCTATTAGTAGGTAGAAACAGTCTAATCATACATATAATAGAAAATAGCTACAGCAACTCCTACTTCAAAAAGGAGAATTATCAGCCTTTATATCTTCAACCTTTCTTTATAAAGGCCTAAAGGAAATCTTGAAGCAATACAATATTCTCAAGGCACATAAATTACATATACCTCATGAAGAAGTTTAGACTGAAGTAATCAAAAATTAAAACTACATTTTATACATTTAAAAGGGATACACTGCTCAGAATACTTACCTGTATGACTGTTGAAGTGTGCAAAATTAGCAAAATTTGCTGTAGCAGTTGACTGAGGAGGAGCAGCAGCAAAAATATCTGAGCCAAGGTCACTGAGGAGGTCAAATTGTTTCTTTTCTTGTTGCTGCTGTCCTTGAGATCGAACTACAACCGGAGACTACAAACAACATTTCAATTAGCTAATACAAAAAAGCTGATATATTTTATATATTCACTACTAGAATAGTACCAGCCATTTTATTGTTTTCAAATTAAAAAAAGAAAAAGAAAAAGAAAAAATATGACACTTAGTTTAAACTTTAAAGACATTTAAGCAAAAGACAATCATAATTAAACTTATCAATTGCATCGGAAAATTCTGCTTACTCAAAATATCTGTTAAAACCCCCCATCAATTTTGTCAATACAAACAAGCTTAATTTAGAACCTGATCTGCAAATACCTCTATACTTCAACAAAACACATAAAATAAAGTTGTCTTTTGTTATGATATTATTTGGTTACACTTGCTACTGCAAGAATTCTTGTGCCACTAAAAGAGAAGTACTGCTGAGCAGTTCCGTGCTCTTCAGCTCTACCATTACTCACTTGGCTAGGTGTGCCCTTGTTTAAGTGCAGTGTGGGTGCAGCTTCTCCCAAGAGAGATTTGAGTGGCTTCACCTCAGGTGTGCTGCTTGTACTACTAGCAGAAGACCCCGATATGGATGCATGGACAGATGCCACCACCTTTGCTTGCTCTGGAGGGACATACCTACAATCAAAGAGAGCAATGGTTTTTACAATTTTAACATGAAAAGTTCTGCTCAATATTTATAAGACTCAAGTGTGAGAACTGGTAGATCTCAGCTTTGCTATTTTAACCACTGACCCTGCAACAAATTCTATCAGTAGTCTGCAAAATAGCCATTATTTAAATATGCCAGATTTTTTTTTTAGATGGACTAGAATTCCAAGTCATCAATATTTTATTGCACTTATTTAACAAAAGCCATGTCTTCTAACAAAAGCCTGCAAACCCCTTATTTACACTGTTGTTGACAACCCCCTAAGCCATTTCTGTTCCACCAATATGAACTACACATTGAGACACTTTAAATAGTTTGTCTTCTCTGCTTCCTGTAGCAGCTCTGAATAAAATCCAGAAATAATTTTCCTTTACAGAGCTGTGCGATCTAATCCAAAGAGCACACAAGAAAGCAAGCACACTCAAGAACATGAGGGTAACAGCCCATCTTCACTTTTTGTCATAGATATAATCTTTAGAATTGTAAAGCTATCTTACCATCTTTTCTTCTCATATTTTTCCTGTAGAAATTCCTTTACTTTCTGTGGATCCCTGAAGTCTGGAATTGCTGATGATCTATCATCAAACAGGCCTAGCCAAATCTGTTTGCACACCTTATTAAAAAAAAAAAAACAAACAAAAAACCAAACACAACCACAGATTAATCAAGATAAAAATATCTTTATTCAAAACTTATTTACGTTTACAATTGTTAATACATCAAACCATTACAAAGTACACAACTGCACATTTCTCATTCCAGACTGAGCTGCTTTAGCAACTGACTGATGCACCATGTACTGATCTAAACACTTAAGTTGAAAGACCATCTGTCACAGCACGGCAAGGAAATCCTAGCATCCGATTTCACCATCAAATACTGCTTTTACAAAATACTTGTAGTATGTACTCATGAAGGGACAAAGCACCTGATTTCATTTCTACTTGTGATCTTTTAAGACTCTTCTCCTTCACCCAGTTCTACACATCCCTTTACTTGTACTTCAAGGCTTGAACTCTTTCAACAGATCCCATATGCCGTAAGCCCTAGATGGTAGCTTTTAAAGGATCTGAGATTTAGCATTTATACTTATAATTACTATTTGAATATAGGAACTTTATTTTTTTTTAAACCAGCCTTTATTGCTATGATGCAGTTTCTGTGGTATCATATACATTTAATTTGAGGGTATGTGAGAAGGGGGAAGAGTACTGTTGCTCTGCTTTAATTTTCTAATTGTGGTTGCGAATGAGCAAAAGTTGAAACAATTGCAAAATTCTCAGTATGTTCAGCTTCAGTTCCTGACCAGAACAACAGGAAAGGCGACTGTTCTCAAAACTAAACAAGACATAGGAGTTGTCACGCTTAAAACGCTTTCTTTAAGCATTTAGGACAACTGTGCAAGTAACCTGAATAAGTGCCCAAATGATACACAAAACGTTACCCACCCTCTAAAAACAGCCTGTCATTTAAGAACAGGTTTCTCCCAGGGAAGTGGGGTCAAAAAAAGCATTGTTTTTGTGATACATCCCCTTCCTTCCCACACCCTTTCTGAAATAGTCTGGACCATCCCTCTTACATGCCTCCTGTAAATATTGCCCTCTATCTCTGCGATAGTGTCAGGTTTTCAGCATTGTCCCCATGACCTTGAGGAAGTGTGTGCTCTAACAAGCAAGAGCTACATGAACTAATTGCCCTGAAAGTTGGCAAATCAAGGTAGAAGCTGTGTTACTTCCACTACATCTTCCCCAGAGAGGTAGTCTTATCTACCTGTCCAGCTAACTTCACCAAAATTGTAGCAACTTAGCCTCTTTGGCAGCACTAGTTGTCAAGAGTGATAAATCTTATGGGTCATTTCAAAGATTGTTCAGGATTAGAGAGATTAGACAGACAGCATAAGTATGTATTTCATACTTGATGTCTTGATTTTGTATAGCCTGTTTGCATGTCCAGCACTCCACGGTCTTATTGTCATCTACTGGATAGAGACAACAATGCGATGCAAATCTAATGATCAAAGGGTAACTTTAAATTAGTTATTTAAATACTCATCTAAAAACAAGATCAGTAATTCCTACTTCAAATAAACTCAGCTATTCAGCATTCATTCAGCAATTGTACTCCACAAAAGGGTTAAAGTCAATGGACTGATTTGAGCTTGCAAATTTAAATGATCATCATTTGCAGTATGGTAATAGATTAAATGAAACTGAAGGTATTTGTTTAATACTTCTTCATAGAAAGTGAGAAGATGTAAACATAATCAAAGAAGTCACAAACCTGTTCTAAAGTAATAGCTAGCATGAAGCACTATTTTAATAGTAGCAAACTTTCACACAAGCACTATAAATTTTGTCAGCAAGAAGTGAAGTCGGAACATTTATGGGTATAGCTTTAAACATGTGCAGCAGATAGTCTGATGTAGGCCAGCAGTAGTCTTTCCATACTTACTTTTGTGAATCTACTGTACCAACTAGCAGTCATACAATTGCTAGGAAGAAAAGAAGCCCTGTTTGTGGCTAGTTACAGAATACCAGGCAGCAGGAGTTCATGGTGTCCAAACCTACACAGTGCTTCCCCCCAACCCCAAATTCAGTATTGAGAAGAACATCAGGGAATACTGAAAAAAAGAAAAAGTTGTGCCTAATTTCAAACAAGACAACTGACAAGTGTTAGAACAGGCCCTACTTGATCCTGCACTCAGCAGAGTAACACTCAGGGCTGTATCATGATGATCAGTTTGCATCCAGCCTAAGATGTGGTAGTGAATGAAAGAGGAGGTCGTCTTCCCCACCCATATCAGGCCATTAAATTACTCCCCCTTCTCCTACAACCCAAAACAAGGCAGATCAAAGAAACTCATCACAATTTCCATGTCGCTAGTACCACTGAAACCTGTACTGAGATCAACCCTCAGCAACAGTCAAACCACAACCTATGTTTTCACCTTTCTCCCTCTGTTTTCTGCTTCATCTTCACGCTGAAGAGCATTCAGAGTGAGGGGCGAAGGAGAAAAAAAACCAACCACCACACCACTAAACCAAAAACACCTAAACAACTCCATGTCAAATACTCTCAATCCTTCCTGACCACTACAGACAACTTCTAGGAGAAATCAGAGAAAAATGTCCTGTGTGGCTTCAGATGATGATTCATGAGCTATGCAGCTACAGCAGATACCAGTCCTATGAACATGCAAACAGGCACAAAGGAGGACTGTGCTATCCAAACACATTGTTGGTTTAAAATGATGCAAACTTCTTCAAGGCATCAATTCTTACACTGCATTGCAATTTTTTGCAAGACTTCAGAAAGCAGTGTTCCAAAAGTGTTTCCTGGAGCAACTAATTTCTTCTAAATACCTAAACACAAAAGCAGTAACAACTGAAATATGCCTTAAGTCACTGTTATAATTTATTTAATTAAACCTGCCAGGCACTCTTTATTGGTTCTCCAGAGAGAACAGCATTATTAATGGACAACACACAACAACTCAGCAAAAGAACCTAAACTTAGTCACACAGACTTCAGCAAGAAGTTCTCATTTTAACGAAGTTTGACAGCAGTAACTATACAAACACAGGTTAAAACATTTACTTTACTACATCAGAGATGCAAATTAAATTTCACATCAGTTTCTTTACCTAAAGAGTTCTCAGAGAAAGCACAATTTCTTAGAAGTCTTAAATAAATCCTTTAGAGTGCCAAATTTTATAAAGCTTTACTATCCCACAAGCAACTATTAAAAGGCACAGTTTTGTCTATTTCTGTATGAAGTACCACACAATGCTTTGAACATCAGCAGCCGTTCCAAGCAAGCATTCAGAACACAATAAAAGGCCTGTTGTCTTTCCTTGTTTGCTGGTGACCTGTATGCTCTTTCTAGCTATACTTTTGTTAGTATCATCTGACTTGACAGGGATCCACAATACCACATTGATTATGCTTCAAGCGAGCCATAATACACAATTTTCAGCTCTCTACAAAAAAAACAAATGGCAATGCACTGTGTAATACCATAGGATGAAATAAAAATTGGAAATTAAAATAAAAATATATTGTTAGAGATAGAACTTACATCATCCAACTCACTTTTTTCAATAGTTATCCTTCAACAGTCTTAAAATAAGTCACTAACAGTACTGAATCTTGTGCAAAGAAAAGTTTGCTTTGAAAAATGGGATTATTTTTACTGATCAGGCCATCACTTTTTTTTTTTCAAAGCTATTTAAAAGTTACTCTTATGATAAAGATCAAGGAAATTAACGCCATACAACTTGCTGTTGAGTTATGGTGAGAATTATCGCTCAGCAATTATCTCTCTTGTACCCCGACTACTCCCCACTAATCACAGCTTTTAAATCCACTACCTGAATTTGACAGTACTTGAGATTCTATAAATTCAATTGCAACAACAACAAAGATTAGTGGAAATGTAGGAAAAAAATCAGATTGGCAACTGAAGTTGCCAATACTTCCAACATGAGCTTCAGTTCTGTCTGGCCTAACGGCTGCCTAGGCAGGAGACCGGAATGAATTAGCATGTGTGGGATGACTTTTGTCCAGCCATTACTTGCAGGACATGATGGGGGGAAAAAAATCCAAAAAGGCAGTAAGGGGAATATAGACCTGCACAAAAGCAAGCTTGAGGTAACCAGTTGCTCTATTAAACATGAAGTTTTCTTCTTAGTTTTCTAATACAAACTTACTATTTGATGGAAAAAAAAACAACCACCACCCAACAAGTAAACAAGGAAGTTTAAAAAAAAGCAAAAATTCAGAATATATTCTTTGAGAAATTTGAATTTGATATCCCAAAGAGCATGTATTCCGAAACACCTCTTTAACTAATCCATACATTAATCAGACTTGCAGAGCTGATTCAGAAAATGTTCCTGCCCAAGTGCCATGATACATCTTAATCTCCAATTTAACAGAATTACTCATTCTTTTGCTTGAAAGCATGAAGCATCCCAACTCACCACAAAGTTACACAACATTAATATGAAAAGTACCAGCCCTAAAAAAGTCTATGGCTTTCTGAAATCCTTCTATATCACACCATCTTCTTGGGGATGTTCTGGTTCAGCCATTTAATATTAATATTGTTCTTTTTGAAACAGCAGCACAAATAAGCCTCTGCTCAAAAGCTCCGTTCATTCACCAAAAGCCTTGGTTATGCTCTTCCTTTTGATAACCAAAGCACTATTAAACAAAATGCTCTGCTTAGAGAAGAGCCTGGCAAGCTGGAGCCAAGAGTAAACACTCAAGTTATGTGGAAGCCCCTAGAAACAGTGGAACATATCCAACAATCCATAATCATTGTCCACTGTCCCTGAAAAGTATAATTAGTCCATGTCCCACTGGTTCACCAATACAGCAAGAAGAAAAAAAAAAACCCACAGCACTGAAGTCAGAATGATTAAGTGTACGCAGCATTAGAAAGTCTACTTTTGTTGAAGGGTTGACAGAAGCAAGACTGAAGTTTTGCCTGCCTCTGTTACATTGTGGGAGCTGCAAAGTGCCAAGATAAAGTGAAGTTTTATCTTGTCAGGAATGATTAAGTGTATGCAGCATTAGAAAGTCTACTTTTGTTGAAGGGTTGACAGAAGC